CACGGCGCGGACGCTGGGCAGTCCTGGAGAGCTCCCCGGTGGCGGTGGCCTGGAAGCCCGCTGTCCTCACGGGTGTCTCCGTGGCGCTGCCTGGAGCCCGCCAAGGAGAAGGTCTTGAGGCCACGGGAGGCTCTAGGGGAGGTCCCTGGACGGCCCCGGGGCTTCGCCGGCGCAGGGGAGCTCAGCGTCTGCGAGGAGCGGGGCCAGCTCCAGGGCCCCTTGTCTGGGGAAACGGCGGCTCAGGAGCTTGAGCTCCCAGAGGTGGCACAGCGGAGCGCGTGGCGGGCGGGGGCTGGACGGTGGTGTGAAGTCCGGAGCCCCAAGCCTAGGGAAGCCACAAGAGGCCCAGAGAAGTCGGCCAGGGCCGCGTCTGGGAGGGCTCCAACCGAGATCCGCTCCCGCCCCACGCGGAGCCCCTCTCCCGACGCCCCAGGCACCCCAGAAGGCCCCGCCTGGGGAGTGCACATTCAGCTCCCCTTGCTGGTCCTCCGGCCACCCGGTCTCCCATAGCCGCCATCCTGAAAAGCAGCCCCTCACTCTCTCTCCAGGTGGGACCTCATTCTCTCCCCGTCGGGGCATTTGTGCGGCAGCCACTGCCTGGAGCATCTCCTTCTGCGGGGGCCGCGTCCTCCTTTTCCTCCCCGGCCCCATCCACTCTCCACCCTGCTCTGCCCGCCTTGGGCTGGAGCCCTGTCAGCACCCTGGACAGAAGCCCGGGGATCTGACGCTCCACGCAGCCACCCGAGGCGTCGTGACACTGCGGGGGACAGCTTGGGACGTGTGTCGTCTCTCTGCGCAGGGGGGCGTGTGTGGGCGCGCTGGGCGTGGGCAGAGCCGGCCGAGCTCCTGCTCTGTTCCCTCCCACGTGTGCAGCTGGGCCCGTGCCCTGGCTTCCCGGCTGTGGGAATGGCCACAGGACATTGGCATCTCCTTTCTCTACCTTAGTTTGCTCAGAGTGGGGCATGCCGGGAGGATGCTATGAACTTCTGTGTGGCAAAAACTGGGACACAGAGGCCAGGCGGCCTGAGAGTGGGCAGCGGGCAGGGCGGCCGTCAGACCCACGGGGGCCTGCCTCGGGGCGGGAACTCACCCTCGGACTGGGATGGACCGTGTCGGCACCAGCGTCTTCTGTAGGGGCAGTTGCTCCTTTGCCGAGTTGCTCGCGACCTCCCAGCGCTGCAGGGACTCTGGGGGGGGCTCTGTCCGCCAAGAGAACCTGCAACAGGAACCGGGGATGCGGAGGTGGCCCTGCAGCCACCAGCACCTGCAGTGACTGTCACTCATCTGCAGCTTTGCAAGGTAGGCGCGGTCACCCGTGCTTTGTAGAGGACGAAGCTGAGGCACAGAGTGGTGGAGTCACTTGCCCACAGTTGCACAGCTGGGATACGGGCCGGCAGCCAAAGGGCCCGGCCTGGAGCGCCCTGGATCCCCAAGCTCGAGCCTCCCCGTTTTTCCCGGAGGGTGCTCTGCACCCTGGGTATTGCTGCCTGGTTCCCTTTTGCCCCTATGGTAGATGCGGTTTCCTTTGCGTTCTGGCCGGTGGCTTCCTGGCAAAGTGAAGCTCCCCCTGGAGGCTTTGCCCAGGGCCCCTGTGGGCGAGCTGGCTGTCTCTGCTGGCTCCTGGGTCCTC